CAAATCTGCTCGAAGTTGGTTCTGGGAAGCGAGCTGTAGCGCTCTGACCAACAAGTTGCCTTGAGCAGCGTGCCATGGGCGTAGCTGCTCCGAAACAGGGACTTGCTCAGTGCCCGTCTCAGCGGAGTGCCTTCCGCTGGCACCACCGCAAACTTGCAAAGCTCGCACACCTCAACGCCGACACCCCCCACGAACAGCGCCTCGTCACACTGTTCGAAAAGGGCCTGGGCACTAAAAACACACGTAAAAAAGTTCTTGACACTAGTCTTTTCCACGGTGACGAGCAGAATGAGCAGAAACAAAACCATCTGAACTTACATTCCGAGGGCCTGGTCTAAGCAGTCTGGCAAATAGAGCTCGACACTGGAGTTGAACGCCCCGAGGTTCTGGCGTCGCCGTGTGATGTGCCAGCAAGCATCTGGGTTAGCGATGGCACAAACCTCTGTGTCCTTCGGATACGAGTAAAGGGTGCCGGAGAGCCCCAGCTCCCGGTAGAGGAACTCGCAGCTGCTGTAGAGCCTGCACTGCTTGGCCGACAGCACCTCGCCGGCAAAGAAGTACCGGCACTCAGACTTCTTGGCACACTGGGCTTGGCACTCCTCGAGGTCTGCAGCCTGCACGTCGGACTCCACGATGACTTGCAAGAGGTCCTCTGCCTTGACGCCACAGGCGAACTGGCCTGTCAGGATCGGGAAGGGCCTGGGCCGGAAGACATTGCGGCTGCCTGCCGGGATCTCTCCGAAGGCTTCGGCGGTCACGGGATCATTCTGGCCCCAGAGGTGTGGGGCACAATGGCAGGGATGCAGCCAGTAGTCGAAGGGGATCTCGGTCAGCGGGTCGTCTACCATCACCGCCACTGCGCCGTCGGCTGTCTCAGCCCGGTCATCAGCCTCGCTCTGGGTCAGATTGGGTGCATCGCAGCGTAGCAGCTCCACTGCAGCTGTCAAGGTGTCCGACCCACCCGCAGTGTACGTCACAGGAAAGGTGGCGGTCCCCTGGTTGAAAACATCTGCGATCAGGTCTATGCCTCGCCATGCGCCATGTTAACGGATGCAAAAAGGAAGTGCTGCAC